CAGTTTTCGATGAGTCATATCATTCTTAACTTGGACGGAAATGAAATTTGTTACAACGTTGCACTTAGTCTTTCATATTTGTTGTTAGTAATTTAAAAGACATTTTGAAACACATACGGAACGATAATAATTTTTTAAAATATAACAACACAAAAATGAAAAGGGAACTCGGGTACATTTATCGAGAGCCACAAATAATCGTTCAAAGAGCCGCATGTGGCTCGTGAGCTGCAGGTTGGCCACCCTTGATATAAGAGATCTATTGCAAAGTTTGTACCTTCTTTTAATCAATTTGGAATATTTTTCAATAAAATAACATATTTTTATTAAAAAATATATATAAAAGATGTGAATTATTTTATTTTCTTACAATTTAAATTACATAAAATATTAACAAATTAAAAAACTTTTCCACAGTAAATTTACTTGTAAACAAATTAATGATGAATTATTTTAAAAGTTACAAAGACCGACAGAACGATTATATTTTATATTTTTCCTTTTTTAATTAACAGTTACTTCCTGCTAAGTGAATAAGTTGCAGGAAAAAATTGTGCTTAAAATTAAAACATAAAATTTGAAAAACCTAAAATAATGTTGGTCTTCACACTGAAATTTTCAACATTTTCCTACACAAGTGGCCCAAAATCCAAATAACTATTTTTTTTTTCTCTGCAAGAAAATCAGTAATTTTAAGAAAGTATATTAAACAAGATCTCATTTTGAATAATTTTTGCAAAGTTTGTAAGCAATAAAATGCTCAAATAAGATAGTGACTTAGTCTTTGCAACTTTTGGACAAATTTTTCTATTATAAAAATCAATTTATAATTACAAAACAAACCTTTTCTCGCCAGAAGCCAACAAATCTTTAAATACTTGCAATTCTATAATTTTATTTTTATGCCTAGAACAGAACCTAGGTGGAATGCTAGAAAATAAAGTTTACAATTTCGTAAATTCTTAATTTCTACAATTATATAAATAATAACTTATGTAACAACTTATACAAACCTTGCTTTTGCTACGTAGTTACATCCCTTTGGATACAATGGACACATGTAGTAACTTTTGCCATAATTAGGATGTCCTACCGTAGATCCAGTTTTCAGCAAACAGTTTAATTCTATAAGAAAAAATATACATTAAACTTGATTGATGTATATAAAGATAAGTTTTAGATAATTATAAGATGATGCAAAGATAAAATCTGAAGATTATAAATAAAAATCTCAGCAATTTCAATAATAATCAGCATTAATTTTTTTTTGTATGCTTATGTAAAAGAGTAACCATTAATTATAATTAAATGCATCTTTTAATTAATCTTAAAATATATTTCTATAATATGAAAGATAATTATCAACTAAAAAATTATTTAAAGTATATCAAAGACTGCAAATTCGAAAATGGCTTTAGAGCAGATTAAATGTAAATAATCAAAAGTTATCTTATGTAATTCTCAAAACAAATAACCATCAACTTCTATCCATTTGCTATATTTTAATTAAATTGATATTTTTTTCAATGTAACTAAATTAAAAGCGTTAAAAGTGGACTTCAAAATCCCTAACTTTATTTATGGAAATAACATTTTTGTGGCTTCCGTCTCTTTGCATTCGCTGGGATTTAGTACAGAAAGGAAGAGTCGTTCTTCAAATATAATTACAATTTTGACGAGTCTGATACTTATTAAATTAATAATGATTACGTTAGAGCCAAGAAGTAACTAAAATATTTAATTATACTTGCTAATTTCAATGTCAAATGACTCTTATATGTTGTTTACTTAATCAATAGTTCTGTTTCACAATGATAAAGAAATTCGATTAAGANTATTGGTGAAAAAATTTTTGAAATCGGATGAGTAGTTTTGGAGATTACCTGCTGCATACAAACTAACATACATACATACATACAAACATTACCTCTTTATAATATTAGTATAGATTGGCTAAGGTGCCTAGCTCTGCTCAAGAAAATAATATACATATTAAGTTAAAGTATGCCCAAAATTGTAATATGCATGGGTTTGTTAGTTTAAATAAATCTGCAACTGTTCAACACAAGACAATTGTGCAGCTGGAAAATGAGAATTCAATCTGTAGGATTTTTGCTTGGAGTTGCATTGTCAAAAGAATTGATGATAAAATCAGTCACAAATTTCATTTGACCAGCTTTCACTGATGTCCACTTTTGCCCAACAATGATATCATTAGACTACTATATTTGAATTTCATGATTCACTTCACACCTACTGGACTCTGGACTGAACTTTTTATTCATGCAAAAGATCCGATAAGAACTAGACACGAACTACATTCTCTTGCAAATGATATCATAATTCTATCAAATCTTATAAAATAGAATGATCTTGGAGATAAATAGTAGCCTGCTTTCTCCCTGGAACTAATCCTAAATATATGTACAAAGTTTCATATAAATTGTGAAACTTTCTTGGGGGTCATTTTTTGACTGATTACTCGAAAGATTCTTGCATTATATTTGAAAAACAGACAGACATAAATTCAATTTTAATATATACAGATTGTTTCATACTCTGTTTAACTGACAGTATAAAATATTACATTCCATTTGTAAAATGTCTATAAAGAATTTAGAAAATTCTAGTTTTAATTTAATTAACTTTTAAATTAAAGAATATTCAGTTATAAAATTACTTGTGACCTTGATATTTAAACTTGACATTTGGATTTTTGTCATTTTTAAATATTGAAATGATACAGACATATATGAAATAAATGAACTTAAAATTACAAGTAAATAAATAAAATCTGAAATAATTATATAAATCAAATTACCTTTTGCTGTTTTTTGTTTCCCTTCAATTAATTTCAAATTATTTATTCTTAATTCTAACTGATCTATTGCGACTTTTAAGCGAGCACCTTTATCGGGAAGGATGGCGACATTACTGCTATTGTAGACTTTCTAGAAATGACAAATAAAGACGTTTTATTAAATATTTCTATTAGAAATTACAAGCAATTAACTTTTTAACTGCTACAATCTATTATTATGATCAAAACACAAATGCATTCAGGAAGATATAATTTTTTCTAAACAACAATCATTATCTGGTGTAAACACAAATTTAGTACCATGATAAAATTGTCCAATAAATGAAATTATTACTGATGTAAAAATAATTTGGGCTAATGTTTATGTGATTTTTAAAAGTATATGCTTAACAAAACATCTAGTTAATAAAAATATAGCTTAGGATAAATAATTAACTTTTAGTTTTCTGAGAAAACTATAAAATCATTATAAACATTTATTTATTTATTTATTTCTGTAACTTTATCATAAAATGGAGGAAAGGATAAATTCATCTAAAATAAAGCTATAAAAAAATGTATTGTTATAATTACTTATTACTTTATAGCAAGAGCTGATAGTCTTTGTAAAACAATTTGCCTATGCATTTTTTATATAAGATTTTTTCCATGTATGTAATTTATTCCTAGTGGCTTACATATCACTAAAAGAAATGTATTTGCAATTATAACTAATCTCTAATATAAGAACCAATTCCCAATTTATGCCGTCAAAAGAGAAATGGTTAAAACCGCTGCGGATAACTTCAGTGGACAATCCATCAAATGACACAGTTTTGTAAATTTTCCCCAGGATCTTTTAGTACAGGGTTATAACCATCAAAAATGGATTCCAACATTCAGAGAGCACTTGCCACTCATTATTTGCATTAACATACAAAAATTATCAATCTAAAGAAGCACGATTGGTCAAATACTTGCTTATAGATTTTTCCCATAATGGAACGGTCGGAATGAGATCAACTTGAGGTGGTACAGTTCTTTCCATTGTAGGATGTAAAAACTGCTCCGTCAATGTCATTACTATGTTTCTGCCATGGTTCCACACAAGTGGAAGATGGTTTCACCTGTCTTAAGGTGATAAAGTGATTATAATGATAACATTACTTCTCTGTTGTTCATTATTCTGTCATTTTGTACAGAATGACAAAATAACTAATGGAGTTTGTTGGAAAATTAATTTACCAGTATAAACTTTCACAATTACTATCTGATATATTGAAATCAATTTTTGTGTTTCATAATGAACTGTATATTTTGGCTTTTTAAATACAGGATTTTCAAATTAAACTTGACATTTCCCTGTTTAAGAAAATCTAATTTTTTTATCAATATATTATACAATTTTTTTAAAATAAAAATAGTGATTTCTTTAAATCTGCAAACAATTAAGATTTAAGAAATATGAACATAATAATAATAATAATAATAATTTACATTTAGTTACATTTCTACACAAATAGCAAAAAGAAAATGCTCAAATATGAATAACTTTATAGTAATTTACAATATGTTATATCCAAATTGTTACAAGTGATGAAATGCTTAATCCTCGTCAGTCGTTTTATATTTGTAAGTGGAAGTGGGCAATCAGATTTGAAGTTCTTATTATTAAACATAATTGTTTAATTAGAGAATTAGAATTAACATTTGGCAAACAGTTCTGAACTCAAAATATATCTTTATATTATTGCTTTCCTTCCTATGCAGAGAAGGCAAAAGAAAGAAATGTGTTAATATCAAATCAGGGAGATGCATTTGTTTTAGATTAAAAACAGTGTTTTAGATTCAAGACAACTTATAGTATCAATATTACTTTATTTATCTATAGTAATAATTATGCAATGATATCTAACAAGTAAGTCAATACCTAGGAGAAAGGTTCATGATAAGAAGATATATTGTTAACTAATTTATTACATACATGTTTCATTAAATAAAATTCAATAAAAACATTACAAAACAGTATTGCCTGTTTATTAAAGTAAATTATCATTAAAAATATAATTGATTATTCTCAAAGTGTCAAACTCAAGTCAAATGTTACCTTTCTTCTATCTAATTCAATTTGCAACTTTCTCCAATCTTCAGAAATGCCCAAACCTGTCGATGGAAGAGAACATTCTTCTTTTTTGTCCGATGCCAAAGCAGACGGCGCACTGTCTTCTTCTCTATCAGACTCATCATCGGATGATGAACTTGATAAAACTGATGAAGGATTTCTGAAACTAGCATTGTTTTCATTTTCACGAAATGGCACTGTTTTATTTTGTTCTTTGACCACTAGTTTTGTTTTATCATCATCATTCGAACAACACTGACTAGATGATTTTCCAGCCACATCATCTTTACTTTCCTTCACTTGAAATGATTTAGTTTCATCCTACAAATATTCAGTTTGAAATATTAATATGTTGATACAAAATGTCGTTAAATTCATAAATTTAGATATATTAAATTAAACTTATTCATTATATTATATATGCAACAAATAAGTTTATTTTATAACATACATAATACAATTTTCAATTATCTTTATAAGTGGTAGTGGTATAGAGCAGTGATGGAAAACCCTTTTACCAAAGGTAGATCAAAAGTGAATTTGAAATTTAGTAATTCCAAATTGGGAGGTCAAATTTAATTTGAGTGCAGTAATTAAAAAATTAACAAAAAAACATGCTTACAAATTTTACTTTAACTTTTTAATCTATATCATAAAAATAACAATAAACACTTATATAAGTGAAAAGAAAAGAGTAAAATCTCATTTATATGGCCACCTTTGGTGTATACAATTTCTGGCCACATCACATAAGTGAGGCAAACACCTAAGTGGGTTTATAAAAAAATTGACATAAAAAACTATATTAAAGCACTGTACTGAATCCTGCTAGATGTTTAATATGTATTATAAAAGTAAACAAAATTCAAATAATACTGAATCCTTTGCAATATACAGTAATTCAAACATTCAAACAGAGTAACATATTATAACACTGAATAATAGGACACATTTATCTTGGGCACTTAAGTGAGTAGCTGGAAAGATGAAGTTTAATTTATATTAAAACTTGTGCAGTTTTACAGGGAAATTTCAAGTGTGGCCATATAAGTGAAACGACCATAAAGCAAAGTTCTACTGCAATAATGTAATTATTACAGAAATAAATATTTCATTTAATGAAAAAACAGTTGTTTATTTAATGATGATAATTTTCTATCATACTTAAGCTCATAATTATCAGTCTTCAAGATTTTTCACAACAGCTTGAAGACTGATTTCACATTACATATTAAACTCAAAACATTCTTTACATATTTTTGAAATCTCTATAAAGCAGTGTGAATTTTTAATGGGTACATGCAGTTTTGAAATTATCAAATAGTTTTTTTTTTAAATATAATATATAGAAACCTAATACTTTCTAAACATTCAATGTGAAAACCTTAAAATCATTGCATGGGTCACGGGGTTTGTCGCCATAACTTTTATCTAAAAAGTTTAAAATTCTAATTTTTAATATATAAGCAATTACTTATCAAGCCCAATTTATTAATATTAATTCAAATACCTAATTTCCAGATTCGTTGGCTATATTTGGATGACTAATTTAACTATATAATTTCATCTAAAGATAGGCAGTTTAACCTGCGTGTTACTAATATAGTCCTAACATCTGATGTTATGAAAACAATGTGAGTTTGAACTCCATTTAGGTCAATCTGCTTCCTCCAGATTATTCTAAATTATTTAATTTATTTTAATTTCTACTTATTAATATCAATAAATATTCTAGACTAACTGCCTATCTTTAGCCAAATTATGTAGTTAGTTAATTAAATTAGCAGCCTAAACACAACCTGACAAAAATTTGTTATTGTTGTTATAACATCCTGAAAAATGAATATCAAATAGACAGAAACTGAAATATATATTGTAGAATATAAATTTAAAAAGTTAATTTATTGATAAATAATGTTTTTTTAAATGTAAAATTATATTCTTATATTTATATGACTAAACAGGAAGTTTTACCTGAACTTTTGATACAAGAATTTCACAATACTTTCCAGAATCATCTTTACCTTCTTTACATCGAAGATAATGTCTGAATAAAAGAAAGAAAAAAAAAATTAGTAAATAATAAAGACAAATCCATGAAACTATTATTAAATACAATTTCTAAGATTTAGCATTTACTCATATTACAGAGAATATAAGAACTGAAGTTCTGAGAACTATATTTTGTGTTACTGCGGCAATTAAACATTAGTTACATTGGAATTTAAACTAAGGCAATTTGTCTTGCTAAAAATAGTGGAGTTTTATCAAAAAAAGTTTCAGTCAAAAATAAGTTTAAACCAAAAGTTTGTTGTAAAATCATAAAATTTTAAAGATCATCATTATATAAGTTTGAAAATTTGATATTATCATACATTATAAATAGTTGCATGATATTACATATTTATTTTAAAATTATAACAATATAAATTATTGATTTGTAAAAATAATAATTTAAAATTCAGGATGACATTGTATTAAAACATTACAAAATATAAAGAGTAAAAACAAAAAAGGATCAACTCCACTATTGTTAATTGCATTCCAACAGCTGCAAATAGGCAAATATAAGACTTAGATTGTTTCTTTTTGTGTGTGTAGTCTTCAAATTTTGTAAATAAATTATTGATATTTACTAAAATAAAAATATTATAAACAGTGGAAAAATTCTCTTGTTGATAATTATGAATACAAGTAGAAATTATATAATGGAGTTTAGATACAAAGTAGTAAGTCCTACATCATGTGTTTTTATTCTCTTGTAGTTTGGTGGATAAAAAATATTTAGAGAAAAAATTTTTATTATTTTGTAAAAAATTACAAAATAATAAAAATGATTCATGTGTTCTTGATATTTTTAAATAAAAACTCTTACTTTGTTGAATTCCTGTAATCAAAATGTGAATGGCAGTCAATTTTGCATTTTTTCCCCCTAATACATAAATCAGTGGTTCTCAGTCAGAGGTCACTTATGCCAAGATGTACCCAAGAGAGAATTCTGCACATGCTTTTCTGGGGAAAAAATGCTTTTCTTTCTTTAAACTTTTACCTTTTTTTCCCTATTTGTTTCATTGAGAACTGTGTGTTTTCAAAATCAAATCATCATCTTAACAGAATATACAAAATATTAAATTCAAAAATATAATTATGCATTTTTTTCTGTTATAAAATCCCTAAATTTGATGTAAATGTAATATAGAAATAAATTTCTCTTTTTGACAATACATCCATGAGGTGTCTTTACACAATTTGTCCCCTCTCATGCAGATGAAGGATAAGACAATTGTCCTGGCCAAATTTTAAAAATTGATGTAAATGTATTTACATTAATGAAAAAGCAAAGGCAAATGTTATTTCTTAATTGCTTAGCTGTATCTAGACTGAAATGTACACAAATAAAACTACCCTTAAGTAAAAACAAACTTATTGAATTTTACTTGAAGGGTACAAGCATATATTTTAAAAATTCAAGAGACTCGAGTAATAAAACAGGTTAAGAACAACCAACATAAATTCATTGCAATAGCAATTTTGACAGAAGTTTATTTACAGGGAGATTAAAATTCTGTGTTCTATCAATATCATATAAGACCAGGGTGGCCAAGCTCCTTGATAGTCCGAGCCATTTTTCAAAATTTGAAATTTTTCGTGAGCCGCAATTAAATATGTATTAAAAAGGTATGCAAAAAATTCCAGATTACAAATTATATCCGTAGCAAGAGTTATACAAATTGTTTCCTCCAGAGCACAATGTCAACTGTCCATTGCAATGACAGTTTACAAATTCAAAATCGGTCTGGAGTCGGCCACTGTTCATGTTCGTTCACGCAGTTTTCGATGAGTCATATCATTCTTAACTTGGACGGAAATGAAATTTGTTACAACATTGCACTTAGTCTTTTATATTTGTTGTTAGTAATTTAAAAGACATTTTGAAACACATACGGAACGATAATAATTTTTTAAAATATAACAACACAAAAATGAAAAGGGAACTCGGGTACATTTATCGAGAGCCACAAATAATCGTTCAAAGAGCCGCATGTGGCTCGTGAGCTGCAGGTTGGCCACCCTTGATATAAGAGATCTATTGCAAAGTTTGTACCTTCTTTTAATCAATTTGGAATATTTTTCAATAAAATAACATATTTTTATTAAAAAATATATATAAAAGATGTGAATTATTTTATTTTCTTACAATTTAAATTACATAAAATATTAACAAATTAAAAAACTTTTCCACAGTAAATTTACTTGTAAACAAATTAATGATGAATTATTTTAAAAGTTACAAAGACCGACAGAACGATTATATTTTATATTTTTCCTTTTTTAATTAACAGTTACTTCCTGCTAAGTGAATAAGTTGCAGGAAAAAATTGTGCTTAAAATTAAAACATAAAATTTGAAAAACCTAAAATAATGTTGGTCTTCACACTGAAATTTTCAACATTTTCCTACACAAGTGGCCCAAAATCCAAATAACTATTTTTTTTTTCTCTGCAAGAAAATCAGTAATTTTAAGAAAGTATATTAAACAAGATCTCATTTTGAATAATTTTTGCAAAGTTTGTAAGCAATAAAATGCTCAAATAAGATAGTGACTTAGTCTTTGCAACTTTTGGACAAATTTTTCTATTATAAAAATCAATTTATAATTACAAAACAAACCTTTTCTCGCCAGAAGCCAACAAATCTTTAAATACTTGCAATTCTATAATTTTATTTTTATGCCTAGAACAGAACCTAGGTGGAATGCTAGAAAATAAAGTTTACAATTTCGTAAATTCTTAATTTCTACAATTATATAAATAATAACTTATGTAACAACTTATACAAACCTTGCTTTTGCTACGTAGTTACATCCCTTTGGATACAATGGACACATGTAGTAACTTTTGCCATAATTAGGATGTCCTACCGTAGATCCAGTTTTCAGCAAACAGTTTAATTCTATAAGAAAAAATATACATTAAACTTGATTGATGTATATAAAGATAAGTTTTAGATAATTATAAGATGATGCAAAGATAAAATCTGAAGATTATAAATAAAAATCTCAGCAATTTCAATAATAATCAGCATTAATTTTTTTTTGTATGCTTATGTAAAAGAGTAACCATTAATTATAATTAAATGCATCTTTTAATTAATCTTAAAATATATTTCTATAATATGAAAGATAATTATCAACTAAAAAATTATTTAAAGTATATCAAAGACTGCAAATTCGAAAATGGCTTTAGAGCAGATTAAATGTAAATAATCAAAAGTTATCTTATGTAATTCTCAAAACAAATAACCATCAACTTCTATCCATTTGCTATATTTTAATTAAATTGATATTTTTTTCAATGTAACTAAATTAAAAGCGTTAAAAGTGGACTTCAAAATCCCTAACTTTATTTATGGAAATAACATTTTTGTGGCTTCCGTCTCTTTGCATTCGCTGGGATTTAGTACAGAAAGGAAGAGTCGTTCTTCAAATATAATTACAATTTTGACGAGTCTGATACTTATTAAATTAATAATGATTACGTTAGAGCCAAGAAGTAACTAAAATATTTAATTATACTTGCTAATTTCAATGTCAAATGACTCTTATATGTTGTTTACTTAATCAATAGTTCTGTTTCACAATGATAAAGAAATTCGATTAAGAGTTCTCAAACATTTTAATTATTAAATTTTATTAAATATTATAAAATTGTATAAATTTATATTTCAATTGTTTATAATTCACGAATTTCTTTAAAAGTGTTTCTATAAAAATTTGATGTCTTTCATGTATGTATGTATTACAATACAATGATTTTTTTTTTATATATCTTAGGAAAAACTTGAGATTATTGAAATAAAAGGATTTTACATGTATTAAAACACCTTCTGTACATATAATTGATACTTTTTTTATAACCAGGGCTGTGGAGTCGGAGTCGTGGAGTTCTGGTGTTTTAGCTGGAGTCAGAGTCGGTAGATTTTTACGCGACTCAACACCCCTGGCAGGGCTGTGGAGTCGAAGTCGTGGAGTTTTGGTGTTTCAGCCGGAGTTGGAGTCGGTAGATTTTTATGCAACTCCACAGCCCTGTTTATAACTTAAAAAACATTGTGGAAAAATATGTACACATTTACTCGCATGGGTTTGTCAGACTCAGGGCATTCATCCCCAGGATTTTTCAACGTCAATCACTGTAGGGTTAAGCTTCTTCAGTTAAAATGTATTTGAACAGAACAATGTATACAAGCAAATGTAATCTTTAATATGAAAAGTTTGTCACACTGGCAACACACTTCATATACAAGCATTTTTAGTTACTTCTTGTAATGATAAAAATACTAATTTTAAACAGTTTTAGGATATTCAGCAATGCAAGTAATAGTTTCTGACAAGTTACTCCTAATCCTATGATTCATTTTGGTATTTTTGGTTGTATAGAGATGTGACACATTGCCTAGTAAAAGAACTTTAATATAGTCTGATAAGCAAGCCAATGACAATCCGATTCATGTGAATTGGGCTGAGGTACTGTACATTTCAAAATAATGGAATAATTCTTCACATTTTAAAATGAATTTAATAATTATTTTAAAAAGTACACAGTAATATTTTAACTAAAATTTGTCCCTCCTATATCCTTAATAACTACCTTTATTTGGCAAGGCATTAATGCAATTTGAGACACTATTACATTCCAAACTTGTGCTACAGTTTGCTTTAAGTTTGTCAGAGTTGTAGGTTGCAAAGTTTGTATCTTGTTTTTTTCATAATGTTCCACAAATTTTCAATAGGATTAAGATCAGGTGAATTGACTGGCAAACTTAAAACATTAATTCCATGCTCCACAAGCCAGACATTTGTTGACTGAGATATGGACTGGTGTTAGATCTTATTGGAAAAGAAAATCAACAACAACAAATAAACCTTCTATTTAGGGAATAATATATCTTCCAAAATATCCTAGTAGGTTTATGAGTTCACAGTTGTATGTAAAAAAACAGATGGCCAACATCAGATGCTCCAAAGCAGCCTATATCATGAGACTTGCAGGATGTTTTATAAATCATAGTAAACTGAGATAACTAAACATTCCCTTTGACATCAAACACATGGACCTTTACTTCCATATGATACACAGAATTCTGATTATCTGAAAATAAAACATTTCCAGTCTTCATAGGTGTAGTTGTGTCCAGAAACCGTTATGTTTCTGTCCACAATTACTTTATTTAATTTCCAAAAACAGGGAAATTTTCTCCAGGCCTGGAAAATTTACAGCTGTAGTGGTTCCTATCCCACAGATTAATGTTACTTTTATTAACACAAAACAGGAACCTAGTCTACCTTTGCATCCTGTACAAGTGTTCAACAGCTTTACTTTCCAACTCACCATTCTTATGCCATTTTAGTATTTTTGAAATTGCACTCTGACCGATCTTTAACATTATTACTATTTGTGTTATTGTTTCACCAGCATCTCTCAGTCCAATTACACATTGTTTTATATTTGACAAGTCATATTTTGGCATAAATGCAGCTCTGAATGTAGTAGTAGGGACCTTATCAGAGCTATGGACTATGCCCATATGACTGAAAACAGGCAAAATAACCAATGGTTTACATGTGACAAGACAGAGCTCCTGAAAATTGGCTTAAGCTTAATAGAGTGCACAGTTTGACTCCAATGAACCTGGAAACAGTCAGTTCAATGGCATTTCTTCTGTTTTACAAGCTTTTAGCAGTATCTCATAAAGTGGAGAACAGTTGATTTGCCACTGTTTTGAGAAATAGTTTCAGATTTTTCACTTTTTAAATTTTATCCCATTTTTGAGGATCTTCAAAATTCTTCATAGGCAAATTTTAGGGGGTTACGTCTTGGGTAAGATATGAACTCTAAATGAGGAATTTCTCACCCACTCTAGAATTGTAGATCCCCATAAAAGCAAAAAAGTCAAAGAAACCATACTTGTACATGCGTCCTTTCACTAGGTATTTGCCTCAAAAGATCAGTTTTTACAGTGTACTATTGACTGCATTCAGCAGACTCAACAGTTCCGAAGCCATTGAGTATTTTTCTGACAAACGCCCTCTACGGTAGTGCTCTTTCGGAACACGTTTGATGTTAAAACATTACATTTGGTAGCATCTTTCATTTATGCTACCCGAAACTGACCAACAAAGCTTTTTGTTCGAATGAATATGTCACTCATCGTTCAGCAGATCCAGGTTGCTACGTAACAGCTACCGATTTGCTCATTCACAAGTGTCGAGTCTGCCGAATGCAGCCATTATCTGCAAGTAGTCGCACGCTTCAATGCTCGCTATCACTTGCACCTCAGTACCTACACGGAGTCAAGGCCCACACACACCTAAAATTATATAACACCCAAGTACTTTGTAAATAGTGAAGTGAGCTACTAAAAGCTTAGCAGAGTGACACGACCTGGACCTTTGTCACAGAAATCGACCTGGAAGCAGGTCGATTTCTGTGACAAAGGGTTACATACAGAGCATTGGTTCCATTAACCTTTTTGCTCCTACGGGTATGGTCTACAGCTCTGATAAGATCCCAACAGTCTCATTCAGATACGTAATTATACCCAAACGACCTCATTTACAGCTAGAATCTTATCATTTATGATTATTAAACTATGCAAAACACTCATCACATGCAACACTTCCTTTAAAATCCCACATTCTATAAAGTAATAGAACATTTCAGTTAACTAATATTATATTATTTTGAAACTTGTGAAGAATTATTCCATTATTTTGGAATGTAATTTAAAATCATATCCAACTAAGCATAAACTCAAATACTCGAATTTGCAAAAGTAAGGCGCAACAACGAAGGACAGGCGATACAGAAAACGTTAAAACGGTTTGCCATTCACTCTAACGATGACATGTTAATACACGTTCGAATTACGTCACAATTACGGTTTAACGAGTTGCTACGTCATAACTTGTCGTTGATTCATTTAATTCACTTCATCTGCGTTATTTCGCCTTTATTTTTTAACAAAAATTAATAATAAATACCACCTAACGAGCCTTACTATGCACAGGACAAGACGAATCCATCTTACAAATTCCACCGCTCGATTCGAACAAACGATAAAACCGACGTTTCTTCGGTGAGCGCCATCTGTCGCCGAAAATAGTAACGTTTTCAAAAATGCCGCTAATTGGGTTAAATTAATATTTACGTTTTTTAATGGCGTTTAAAAACCATTTAATAATAATAATATTATTATTCCATGAACAAGGTACCGATCGTTATTTTAAATGTTAGCTAAAACGACTTTTTATCAATATTTTTTTTAGTTTATGACGATATTTACAAATAATTTCGGGTAAAAAGCGCCGTCTGGTATTTAAAATATTAACTAAAAACTCCCCCTAAAGGACGAAGATCGACCATTTACGTAGTTTGTAAAATAAACTTTTAATTACTTTCCGAATACTCGAAACTTGTTACAAAATTTATTAAGATCGTTTAGAAAACTTTCTTAAAGTAAAAATTTATTAAATTAAATTAATAATTTGAATAGGGGTGATAGATGGAAATACGATTTTACGAACGAAACGCGATCGCGATACGATACGAGTCGGAGGAATAAATTGAGAAATGTCCGCCGCTTGACAGTATTGATTTTGATTTATTTTCTCGAAACGAGTTTATGATGTTCGCTGCTAAAATATTAAATAACAGTATCGGATGAAAGGTATATTAAATTGCTAGTATTAATGATCGCGTAACGCTTTTTATATATAAATGTTTAAATAGTTATTTTTACTCCTAGCGCTATTTTTATGTGTAAAAATTAGATGATTTAAATGTTAAAAAGCGGAGTGTCCGGGTTCGAGTAGTATTGCTTCCACACTTCTTTCCAGTTATTTAAATAAGATGTAATTAAAATAATCTAAGTACTTTACAAAAGTATGAAAATGCAGATGATTCGGGTTCGGGTATCGTCGCACGCGTACGCCTAAAAATAAAACTTTTACATTATTATTATTTTTTTAAATTTAATATTGGAAATTACAAATTGATAAATTATCAGTTTTGTTGTATAAACTTTTATATTTTTTTCACAATTTGTTGACTTATATTTTTCAATTTGTTTACGGAGTTTCGAATTCCTGAAGTTCCATATATCCCGAATGAAAGATTGAACGAAAGATTGTATCGGGTTTTTAAATTGTTTCACGTTCCTAGAAATTTGTTTTCATGCGAGCAATTTAAAACACGAATTTCCTGTTTTGTTTTTACGGCTATAAAATTTATTTAAACTTTGATAATAATAAATTTTCAAATCTATAATTAATAATACTAATGAGGTAAAGCGGAATCTGGAATATCAAAACAGATAATTTCGTCTTTAAATAAATCAAGTTGAAATTTATTTATTCATTCAGTTTTTAACATTAAAGGTAGAAGTTTCGCAATAAGAAAATTCCAAGATCGGAACCGCGATTACATTAATCACATGTCAAATCTATTAATCACATACAAACACAATAATGCCAATACAAGACAATTTTCATGATGTCAATGCAAAGCATAATATACGATACGAATAGAGGGCATAATACACTCATAATATAAACACAATAATTTACTTTAAATCTGATTTAAAGTCATATAAAGGCCCAACTTTATTCCACATTAAAAAGACTTTACAACGTTAAACCTTATACCAGTATAAATTTCCAGGCAAAGAAAACAGTTTAAATTAAACGGCGCTTCAATGTTTAGTTTTATTTCGAGTCAAAGAGGTACCGTACATAAATATGCAACGAGATATTTTTAATCACTTAATGACGAAATGTTTAATGTTTTACAAACGATTTCGTCATTACACGAACTGTTGCAATTCAAATCAAAATCATCTTTTTAACACTACTTAGAAAAAAATGGCGTTTAATACCACTAAAATCATTTCAAAACATTAAATATAACTTTACTAATTGCATACAGGCAGATGTAGGAGTAAAAAGTACCTAAGACAGACATAGCTGAGAAGTCAAAATCTGTCATTTTCTTACCGAGAGGGTGGATAGAAATAAAGAAAAAAATTATCCCTAATACTGCAAATTTTGTTTTATTTAAATTTCATAGGAGAAGACAATAAAACCTGTCTTAAGTGGATTTTTATGATCGCTTCCTAACAATTACAATGATTAACTTTCCTTTTTTTTAAAAAAAAAGAAACGGAAATTTAAAATACAGCCTTGGGAATTCATCTATGACAGGTTACGTTTAACAATACACACATCTAATATTTTCGCGATTACAGTAATTTAATACATAAAAAAGAAAATACAATTCACTCTGAGATAATCGAAAAATATTTTAGCGAATTAAAAATTGTTTTTCAAGATTTTGTAAAGTCGTACGACGCGTGAGCCGCCTACCAAATCGAAGATTTATCTTCGATTTGGAGGCAGCTCACCACTTTAGTTTAAAGGGAAAAAATTTATATATATATAAAAAAATAATAATACATAAAATAAAATAAAATCTGCTAGCCTTAAAATCTATTCCTCATACATAAAATACGTATAAAGTATAACAAATAGAGTAATACATAGAAATAATTCCGTGGCCATTTGGCCGTGATTTATGGCATCGTATCGATTGCCTCTACCAGATGTCGCCACCGGAGCATTTTTCATGATCTGTGTCTCGCGCTTAATCGTAATTTAATCATTTAATGGCATTTAATCTAATCGCTAACTAATTTATGTATATTACATTTGAAATATTTATATCGTGTCAACGTAAAAATCAGTTAACCAATCGGGAATCGTCATATACTACGTATATAAACATATTATTATTATTATTAATATTACTAAAATCTTAGAAATGTTTAAAATCGAAGAAATTACAATCACTTAATTGCAATTAAATGAAATCAATAGGAAAACTGATTATTATTTGTTCGTCGTGTGTAATCGATTGCCATTGGTTAAATTGATTAGTTAAAACTAATCGTAATTTAACACGACTTCAAAGAATGCCGATAAAACGAAATTAAATGATTTAATGACAATTAAACCTGTAATTGATTATTATTAAATAAAAATATACAGAAGAAAAAACGTTACGTAAGCGACATTTAACGTGAAATCGATTTATTTTTCCATTACAAGAATATTTTTTCTATTTTTTCCCTTATGTTTCGGCTTTCCATTATCCGATAATTAATTTATAAGAGTAATTTTTTAAAAAGTAAAAATACATTTTCGTTTAAAAAAAAAATTTAAAATTATATTAAAAATAAAAACTTACACTGAACACTTAGAGCAAATAATTCTACTGTGAGATCAAATGAAACTGGTAATCGACCTTGTAATATATCTTGTTTAATTTGCAAAAAAAACTGATATCTGCAACATAATATAATAAATCTAAAAAATATTGAAACATCACAANTTTTTTATTCTTTCTAAAGTAGTATATATTATCAACATATATGACTGAGATAAAATAAATCTATGAAATAATCAAGTATCTAATCAATATTATTATTTTTTAATAGTTTTTATACATTGTTCTTTGTTTTTTATGTATTATTTTGTGTTAATTGTTTATGTCTCTCCTATTTTATCAATTCTTTTGTTATGGGTCTTGTTTAATGAGGGAGGAGAGAGAGAATTCTAGATGTAATAAATAAATAAAATAATAAATTATGATTAGATTTTAGTAGAGGAAATTAATATTACGGTTATTTATAAACTGATATGACGTTTGTTTACGTGAAGGAGCTTATGTAAGGTGGGATTCTTCCATGTTAAGCGCTCAATTAACATAGGGATGCGATATAATGTTGCGCTAGGTAATTTAATAGATATATAAAACGCTTTATTTATTAACAAAATAATAAAAAAAGGGAGCTAGAGATAAATTGAGATCGATTTTCTGTAGAAAAACAATGATTTCGTAACGAGAAAGTTTCGAAAGATCAACTTACATCAAACCCCGTTTCCGCTCATAGAATCGTGTATAGTGCGCACGTCGGGAGGGAGAAAAATAGACAGATATAAGCACACCGGCGGACATAAGAGACAAACTGACCGCACAGACGAAATCCTCGAGATGTTAGGAGCTTAACGGCACGCCACACTTACGCGAAATCGCATTAATTTAACGGAGAATTACGATACAATGATCGGCGTCGACCGAGGTAAACAACATTCCGCCATGATGGTCGGCGCGCGAGGCACGACGGGATTGATAAGTGACGAACGACAACAGCGACTCACTTCGTGACGATATTGTTTGTCATTTATTTTTATTTTATGCGTTGTGTGCGCGGACTCGTCGGACGGACCGTTTAAACAACAATTGATGTCTGCGAAGGCCGATAGAGTTATAGGAAAGGCGAAACATGCAAATGAACTTACATGACAGGATATGAATACGCGGGGCGATAAAATAACCGTCTGTGAAGTATTGTTTACAAAAAGCCCGATAGCAGTGGTATGAATCGACGGGAGCGGCGGTAATCATTTGACAGGACATCGATGGATGATAGGTATTATCCAAAGGTGAATATGGTTACACATGTTTTATATATATTATATATATTATATAATGCACTTTAATGGGGTTGTCACTTGTTGCACGTGCTGTTTACCATCACGTTTTATTAGATTTTACACGTATATATACAAAAAATATATATATATGTATACCTATATATATTTTAGTCGTATATAAATATGTTTTCGGGGAGAGAAAGTTTGGAGGATTTGTTCGGGGGGTCGGGTTAAAAAAATGTGTTTTTTTTTTGTGTTTGTGTCCCCGGTTTCTGTAGGTGTATCGGCCGCGCGGGGATCTCCGTCCATCTAGTGCGAGCATGTGGCTCGTGTAGTGTGCAGCTTAGCACGATCTCGGCCACTGGAAATTGATTTCTATATGATGTTTCTACAGTTCATAGGATCTCCCGGTTGTCAACATGGATCGTATACGTTCTACAAGGCTTTCAAATATTACAAGCACGATAAATGCAGGATCTTGATGTTGGGAGAATTTTTCTTTGTCAAGATATCGTCCAACGATGATCCCTGTATCGGCGAATTGCAATTGCTATGGGAGGATAGGAATACCGATCAGATGTTATCCAGTGTGAGACTTTACTTTTTGCCCGAGCAAACACCTTTGGGACGTCAGTCTCATCACGGTGAGGTGAGTGACTTTTTGTTTCTTCTACTTCTTCTATTATTAAATATCGTTTTTACTCGGACTTGAAATAAACCGTGCGTGTTCGACTTACTCGTGTAATTGTTCGACATCTGGGACATCGGCCAAAATTTAATATATACTAACTGTGATAATACAAATCTGTTGTCGTCGTCGTACTGTTCTTTGTAATTTTACTATTTACTTATATTATTTATTAATATTTACCATGCTAATTATTTTCCTCTGTTCTTGTTTTTTTTTATACCGCTAACCGCATTAAACTTGTTTTTATTATTTTTTTAAATTTAATATTGGAAATTACAAATTGATAAATTATCAGTTTTGTTGTATAAACTTTTATATTTTTTTCACAATTTGTTGACTTATATTTTTCAATTTGTTTACGGAGTTTCGAATTCCTGAAGTTCCATATATCCCGAATGAAAGATTGAACGAAAGATTGTATCGGGTTTTTAAATTGTTTCACGTTCCTAGAAATTTGTTTTCATGCGAGCAATTTAAAACACGAATTTCCTGTTTTGTTTTTACGGCTATAAAATTTATTTAAACTTTGATAATAATAAATTTTCAAATCTATAATTAATAATACTAATGAGGTAAAGCGGAATCTGGAATATCAAAACAGATAATTTCGTCTTTAAATAAATCAAGTTGAAATTTATTTATTCATTCAGTTTTTAACATTAAAGGTAGAAGTTTCGCAATAAGAAAATTCCAAGATCGGAACCGCGATTACATTAATCACATGTCAAATCTATTAATCACATACAAACACAATAATGCCAATACAAGACAATTTTCATGATGTCAATGCAAAGCATAATATACGATACGAATAGAGGGCATAATACACTCATAATATAAACACAATAATTTACTTTAAATCTGATTTAAAGTCATATAAAGGCCCAACTTTATTCCACATTAAAAAGACTTTACAACGTTAAACCTTATACCAGTATAAATTTCCAGGCAAAGAAAACAGTTTAAATTAAACGGCGCTTCAATGTTTAGTTTTATTTCGAGTCAAAGAGGTACCGTACATAAATATGCAACGAGATATTTTTAATCACTTAATGACGAAATGTTTAATGTTTTACAAACGATTTCGTCATTACACGAACTGTTGCAATTCAAATCAAAATCATCTTTTTAACACTACTTAGAAAAAAATGGCGTTTAATACCACTAAAATCATTTCAAAACATTAAATATAACTTTACTAATTGCATACAGGCAGATGTAGGAGTAAAAAGTACCTAAGACAGACATAGCTGAGAAGTCAAAATCTGTCATTTTCTTACCGAGAGGGTGGATAGAAATAAAGAAAAAAATTATCCCTAATACTGCAAATTTTGTTTTATTTAAATTTCATAGGAGAAGACAATAAAACCTGTCTTAAGTGGATTTTTATGATCGCTTCCTAACAATTACAATGATTAACTTTCCTTTTTTTTAAAAAAAAAGAAACGGAAATTTAAAATACAGCCTTGGGAATTCATCTATGACAGGTTACGTTTAACAATACACACATCTAGTATTTTCGCGATTACAGTAATTTAATACATAAAAAAGAAAATACAATTCACTCTGAGATAATCGAAAAATATTTTAGCGAATTAAAAATTGTTTTTCAAGATTTTGTAAAGTCGTACGACGCGTGAGCCGCCTACCAAATCGAAGATTTATCTTCGATTTGGAGGCAGCTCACCACTTTAGTTTAAAGGGAAAAAATTTATATATATATAAAAAAATAATAATACATAAAATAAAATAAAATCTGCTAGCCTTAAAATCTATTCCTCATACATAAAATACGTATAAAGTATAACAAATAGAGTAATACATAGAAATAATTCCGTGGCCATTTGGCCGTGATTTATGGCATCGTATCGATTGCCTCTACCAGATGTCGCCACCGGAGCATTTTTCATGATCTGTGTCTCGCGCTTAATCGTAATTTAATCATTTAATGGCATTTAANATTTATTTATTTATTTATTTATTTTAATATATACAGTTATATATTGAAATTATAAAAATAAAAAAAAATTAAATAATTAAAAAAAATGAAAAAAAATTTAATGAAATTATTATTAATATTTAATACATTTTACTTCATTCTTTAAACTTGTCGAACAAAAGGGGTGTTTATATCACACTACTAAACTTGTCACTGACAACGAGCTATAAATCGGGAACTCCTCACGACCTCCACCGTTGCTATGGTAATGGGACTGTTCCATTGCTCTCCCTAGGGGGTGAGACGGTCATATTTAACAAGACCAAAAGGGGGGTCCACATTTAGTTCCTATCAAATTCTTTGTTCTTTGACATCCGGACTCTTAAAGGGGGTTAATCACGAAAATAACTAAAGTTAATTACATAAATAAACCCATCGAAAATAAAATACATCTATATATATACATGTATATAAAATAATGTTTTTCTTCTGTTTTCATTTTAAAAATTGAACATCATTAATGTTTAATTAACATTTCCTTTTGTCTACATAAAAATTATTTATATTATTTCATAAATTAATAATATTAAATTTGATTAAAAATTAAATAAATATTTATTTTATCAATTTAAATCCTAGCTAATGTTACTGATGTTAAATTGTATTGCTGGAGAATTATTATTATCCCTTATTCTATCTTCAGCTCTTACTTAGGAGATAAAAAAGAATAAAAAAATAAAATAAAATAGAATATATATATAATATAATAAAAAAGTTTCCTGTTTGATCTCTCGATATTCTACTTTGATTTTGATACATTTACTTTACCAGAAAACCGGTCGAGTTGAATGATTGTTTGGAACATTCTTTGTTGTAGTCTGATTACTCAGCCAAGCAAGAATTTCAGACCCTCGGGTTAAAGATGCATGTGGCCACTGTTTCTTATGTTTTTCCAGCTGTGAAGTAAAACATTGACCCCCTTTGTTAGAATTGTCAAACTTGCCTACGTCACACAGCATCCCCTTTGATATTATTTATAACAAAATATAAAATCGATTCGAAGAAAAAATTTAACTTTTAACATAATTAAAACATCCCAAATAATAGTAGTAATAATAATAAAGTAGTAACAAAAATGGGGGTAGAAAAGCAAGGGAGGGTGAAAGAGAGAGAAAGAAAGGGGGGAGAGAAAAAAAATTAAACTCGATTCATTCTTGTAGAATGTACGAATAGATTATAATTATTTATGGTTTAATGAACATGGCCAGGTAATGTGATATAGTCGGAGATAATTTAGCAACGTACTAAGTTAGTCTAATAGAATATACTTAATCATACTGTTTAGAAGGTTACATAGTAAGATGGAATTTAGGGTGTGGTGCAATATAATGCAATAAATAGTAAACTTGAGTAATACTTTTCGTGAGTTTCTAACTTAATTTCTTTCTTTCTGCTTTGTAAAGAATTATTATTATTCAGCTGTGTTTGTGTAATAATATAATAATTTCGTTTTAAAATTATTCTAAAATTATTTAAAATGAAAATATATTTTAATGGATTTGAATAGCAACGTTGTAACTTTACAAGAAGCGATTTGTATAATTAATTAATTAATTAATTAATTAGAATTAATTAATTCCATTTCTGAAGTTTAATCGATTAGAGAAGGAAATTATGAGAATTTCGATAAGTTTTAAATTAAATATACATATTTTTTTTTATTTTAAATTTTATTCGATTGATATCGGTTAAGTAAGTGCAAAAATCTTATTAAATTTCATAGATTTTAATCTATATATATACATACAGTATATATACACACACACACACGCCGTCTCGGAATTACTTGATATGTAAAGCTAATTTCAGCACGTAATCAATTCGAAATTTGAATTTTTATAACCTATATATGACCTTAAAGCAGCTTAAAAAAACCACTAAAACAAGTTTGACCTTTCAGTTCTTAATCGAGAATTATAATCGCTAAAAAATCGATTAGTTGGAAAGATTATAAATAATGGAACATGTAAGCAATTCAAAATTTAAATTTCATGACGTTGAATTATTTGACTTCGATTTTAAATCGATAAAACATTTTTAAAAGATTATTTATAAAATAAACTTGCTTAACTGTTTTGTTTAATTAATTGATTTTGTAAAATAGTTTAAAGTTCTTTAATTGATTTTATTATTTTATTAATTAAATAATTTTAATAAAAAAAATATATAATAAAAATCGATTATTTTATTTTTTTAAGTTAAACAATTTTAATTAAAAAATAGATTAATAAAATAAAGTATAAAAACGATTAATTAATAATAAAAAAATAAATTAATCGATTTTATTTTTTTAAATTGACAAAATTGTTTTAATAAAAATTCTGACGTCAGTAATCGATTTTTTCATTGTTAAAATTGTAAACAAAAAGATTAACAGCTGATCGAAATTGACAATAAAACACGAAATTGTTTAACAGATTCGAAATTGAAACGTTTTGAGAATCGATTAATTTAATTACATATGGAAACTTATTAAAATCGATTATTAATTAGAAATTGAAACATCTTGTAAATTGATTAATATAATCGATAATTAATGCATTTTCTTATTCGATTAAACAATTAGAAATGAATTTAACGTATTTATTAATCGATTAGTGAATGTTTAAAAAATAATAAAAATAAAAAAAAATTCGGTAAATATTTAAATTGGAATTTCTGATGTCAAATTTGTCTATTTGTAAATCTCGTTTCCGCTGGGTATAACACTCCTTGGAATATCAGAGCGAAAAGAAGAGGGAGGGACGAGCAGGAGGGAGGGAGGGGAAAAAATAATAATAAAAAATAAAATAAAATCGCAATGAAATCGTGACTTTCTGTCAGGCACTGCCACCTGTCGTGACGACCTTTCGTCCGTTAGTTAGAAATCATTACCAACTCAAACTTCACGTTTCGAACAAGCAGTGACGTCATTAGATGAACTAAATCTAACCCCATTCACTCTTCGGCATTTTTTTAT